ATTTAAGGGATTTGGGAATTTGCTCGATTGCTCTCTCTGTGGTTTATTTTATCTGTACTTTTTATTAGGTCTTTTTAATCTTTTTGTAATTATATTATGTTTTCTTATACCGTACTGCATTTTAATGTTTATAATATTTTTTAAAAATTATGTATATAGAATTGCGATATTGTATTTTTGTTGTCATGAGGAGAGCCCCTCGACAGTAGATCTTCTACTTTTGGGCAATCCTGCCACATGACAACAATTACTATTTTTGAAATTTTATATTTGTATATTTTATATATTTATATCTGGCGAAATAAATGAAATGAAATATATATATATATATATATATATATGATATATTTTCATAAATCATTACTAATATTAATGATGGGTAAGTATGTTAGTTTAAAGAAGGAAACAATACTTAAACAATATAGTATCTAAATAAATTAACCATATAAATAACAGAGATGGAATATAAGTGAATATGAAATAAAATTAAATGAAGCAAAAAATTAATGTGAACTATACATTAACAAAAAAACAGAGATAACATATCAGGTCCTAGGCCTATAAGAGCAAAATGTGGTACCCTTTGTCACTGATACCGTACTGGCTGGTGCACAGCATATAATAGGATCCCTTATGAAACTGCTGAATGCCTACAGCATAGCACCATTCCATGGAGATGAGCTCCATTAATACATGCAGATTTACATTGATTCTTCTCACCTTTTCCCACTGGTTCGGCTTCGCAATCCTCGCCTTTGAAACTATCTTGCCAGCATACAGTTTACCTGTGCTCATCTCTCGAAGCTCGTAACATCTTGCAAAACCACCCTATCAGGTATAAGAACAACGACAACATTCTTAGTTTCATCTCAAAACATTCTTTGTAGTGCCAAAAATGTGATTTATTCTTTAGTGCAAAATAGATAAACTGTAACTCGCTACTTACCTGTAACCTATTCCTTTTAATTTTCAATAATTTGTTTTATTGTATTGTATTATACCCCATTATTGTTTTTAATCGTAAAATCAATAATCTGTTATGTGTTTTTTTGCCATCTTAGATGCTTGCTCAGTGATCTAATTTCAATGATATTGAATTTGAGTCTCAAAGGGTCTTGCTTAATTCCATTCCTTAAAATGAAATCTTCAAGCATTTAAATTAGAATTGACCATATAATTACTTTTTCATTACACTATATATTTGTAGCATATACCTGAAACCATAAGATAAATCAAATTTTTTTATACTTAGAATTAGTTACAAAAGAGAGTAAATTTGAATTTTTAACATCTTGACACAATGAAACACTTATGCAGTATTGTTCAACAATTTTTTTTATGAGCACAGAAGTAATGAGGCATCATATACTAGTACAAACATGATATTAGAAACTGAAAACAAAATTATATTTTACCTAAGTTAGGTAATATAATATTACTGTCATAAAGATATGTGTTTACTAAGGTCAGTCAAGTCAAAATCTAAAAAAAAACCCTTAGAGTTGGCCCTTTCTTTTATGGCAAAAATATATTTCTTTCTTTAACATGGAAGGACTACAAAACATTTGTTTGATATTTAAAAGAACGCATGTTTGGACTACAGGAAGTCGCGGAGTCTTCCAGAAATCGGAAAGACCCCCCCCTCTATGAGCAAGCAAGAATCTCCTGAAAAATAACCCATCTACCACAAATTCATGATATCTGCAAGTTTACACCAGTTTTTAATAATGTATTATCAATTTTCTTCAGGAAATCAGCACCAATGGGTATCACCATCCACATCAAAATATAATTAGATGTTAAAGAAAGCTCATTTAAACAGAACTCCCGGATGTGGATTCTTCCAACCCTTGTCTATAAATTTGATTGATCTTAACCATGAATTTAGCCTGGGATGAGTGAGTTTGACAGTCAGTGAACCTTAAAACCCTAGAGAGAAAACAACATCCAGACCCTGAATCCAAACGTCACAGTGTATGGGCAACACAATCATTATTATTGCCTAATATCAGGAATAAAATATCATCTCTCTCACTTTCAGATTAATTAGATTAATTGAAGATGGCATAGGTGAGAATCAATCAACTTTTATGTATTTATTTCCATTAAATCCAACAACTTATCTCTTTACAGGATGAAACCTTTGTGATGCTCTAGGCCTATAACACATTAAGAGGCTTAGTTTTTAAGTAAAATTGTATTATAGCTATTAGTAAAATTTCTGGCACTGGCAAGGTTTGAACCCTAGAACCTGAGACCGGGAGGCATGCTCCTTAACAACAACTGTACTTTTGGAAAAGATGAGCAAATGAGCTCTAGTTAAGATGCTCAACAGAGTAGAACTGTAGCTCGATGGTTGCCTGCCCAATAACCCAGGCTCCTAGGTTCAAATCCTGATATACAGATCATTAATTCCATTACTGAACTGAAAAAGTATTTCAAAATAGAGGAAAAAACCAGGCAGCCTACAAGTAGTTACTTCATTTAATATCAGCAGATATTACATAAATCAAGGTCATTGAACTTTGATCTCTCTATATCGTGCCAATTGTAATTGTAACACAAACTAATTTAGATTTTTTTATAGACCCAAGATGAGCATGGCTTCAAAGGACCACAATCAACAAGGTTGCCACGGGCAAGTACTATTTCTAGTATCAAATTATCGATTCTGATTCTATGTACTTTCTAAAGGTATCCATTAATATATTCATGAAAATGAGCTGTTAATGAAAAAGAATTTGGAATTCTCTGTACTGTACTTTCAGATCAATATTAACTTTGCTAATTCTGCTAAAACGTGTGCACAATATACAGTTTAGTTTTTTCTCTTTGTTCTTTTCTGTTCTATCAGCACATAGAGAACTTGGTATTATGTGCTATATAAATTCAACTACATACATACATGAAACCAATTATATTTACTGGTATTATTCAATAAAATTACCACCACTATTTTAGATTTATTTTTATCCATTGTCAAATTTATTACCAGTATATCATATATTCATATTATTATACATACTTATTTTTTATTTATTCTTTCTTTATTCTGAAATACATTTTTTAAAATTTTGAAATACACTTTCAATAATATGTAGGCCTAATAGTTCCCAAAGTGGATACACTTATCTTATTTAATTACTTATTTGGTCTTTCAAACATTATGTACATAACACATTACAAAAAAAACCCTGAAATTTGGGGAGACCAAAGTCACATAAAGTGAGCCAAATCACTGTAGATAAAATGGTTGATTAAAAAAAAATATCAACATATGTTTTGTTTTCTTTCGAATATACTCTTAGAATGCTTGCAAAGAAATATAGAAAACTATACTGAAACCATTGATGACAATTTGTCTTTCACTAACAATGCCTTGAAAATAATGATATTCTTTTTGCAATTATGAAAATGGTTGAAGCAGTTTCTCTCCTATTAAATGTTACAGTAAGTCTAAAATAACATTATATTCTGCAGTATACATACTGTAGTTAATAGGATAAAATGCTCAGATACTGTCACTCAAATAGATAGTAATTACTTCGTTTTTTTAGCAGTAAAGGCTCTGCCATCTTCTACTTATCTTTTGAATATATAATGATCACTGGATATTTTTCATAATAAAAATCTGCATCAAATGATCCTGATTGCAGTAATTATCTACATAGCTAAAAAAAAAAATATCTTCACTGTTGGCAATGTCCCAAAAATATAAAGAATGTTGGCAGTCTTTAGAACTCCGATTTACTGTAGCTCATTATTATTCTATGCTTCGCATTATTATCTCTGCCATTGGACCTAAAAGGTATGGAACATACATAGCTCATTGGGGCAGGCAGAATTCCATGTTATTGCTAGTAATCAGTACATAATCTACAATTTACCCGCTTATACCTTGGGTAGGAAAGCCCCTTGTCCAAGGACACAAGTGAAATGCACAGTGACATGGTTCAATCCCCAGACTTCACATTATTATACCAGTCATTGGACCTAACATATATAAAACATACACAGATCATTGGGGCTGGCAGAATTCCATGTTATTGCTAGTAGTAATCAGTACATAATCTATAATTTACTCACTTAAACCTTGGGTAGGGAACCCCCTTGTCCAAGGACACGATTGAAATGCACAGCGAATGGTTCTATCCCCTGACTTCACATTATTATCCCGGTCATTGGACCTAACATGTATGAAACATACACAGATCATTGGGGCTGGCAGAATTCCATGTTATTGCTAGTAGTAATCAGTACATTATCTATAATTTACTCACTTAAACCTTGGGTAGGAAAGCCCCTTGTCCAAGGACACAAGTGAAATACACAGCAACATGGTTCAATCCCCTGACTTCACATTATTATCCCGGCCATTAGATCCTAACATGTATGACACATTCATAGCTCATTTGGGCTGACAGAATTCCATGTTATTGCTAGTAATCAGCACATAAGTACTCACTTAAACAAACTTGGGTAGGCAAGCACCAAGGGCACAGGTGAAATGCACAGTGAGTGTTTCATTTTTCATTATCATCTTCCATAGATTTGATTACAGACAACATCTTAAGAGAATTGTAGACATCAACTCACCTGAGATGAGAAATTAAGACTGGATACACACAGATGCATTATGAGGAGGAAGTAAGGGTATAAATCTCCAAGAATATTTTAATTCAATAGTAAATCAAGGAATTAATGTGAATAAATGGACTTGTGTGTATTATTTTAAATAAATAGTTCCATATAATATGGAGTTATATTATTACAAGTTATAATAGTACTGCATTCTGAATCTAAAACTGTTTGAATTCTTAATGAATGAGCAAAATATTAATAATGTAATATGCAAACACTGCTAACTGAGTTGGATATAGAACCATCTGAGTACATAGAGCTCTCTTGCTAGCTTTAAGCTAATTATGGTATGTGAGTTGACTTTGGGAGAAATTCACCAGGTTAGAGTTGATATTCACTCACCTGCACCGCATACACGATGACTCATGCTTTATTCTAATCACCGGCGAGCCAGCGATCGCAAGCTAGTAATCACACGATTTGATGGATCGTGCCAGCGACAAATCAAAGAGGATATAGGATCGTTCATATAGATCTATTAGCTAATGTATTTGTTTAACTCGGACACGATTATTTGGCTCAAAGAAGACAAGTTTTTTGGGAAATTTATAAGCATATTAGCATTCATTAAATTAATCGTATAAAATTATCTACAATTTGTATGTTTTCTGTGCTATTTTCTTTACCAATATTCCGAAAGCAATGTAAAGAAGAATAAATCACAAACATGAACAGCATTAAACTGAGGCCTGTCAACTGCAATAAATTCAATAATGTTATTAATGTAATAAATTTCCGCATCTTATAGCACTTAATACTTCAAAGTAGCAATACGCTTCACATTTCAGAATTAGTTAAATTTTAACGTGATTTTCGGTTACAGTAATTTGTAGGCTTTCAGACACAGACTGTAAATTGATTTAAAAGATTTTTCTAGAAGAAAGTTACAATTGAGTGAAAATATGGTATTTTAAAAATCAATGGCTAATTTTCGTTAGGTGAGATTTTTTACTACCTTGTTTCGCAAAACTTATTATTTTAAAGATCATCAGAAGAGGGGCGGAAAAAAAATGAATTAAATTTTGTTTTCTTATTTAACCCTACTGGAAGAAGACACCATAGTTACCAACCTGAGAGAATATTTTTCTCAATATTGTATTTAACCTCAATTTTATAATAATTATACCAAAAGTTTTTTAAAGAGAAAATCTTTGCAACAGTATAGATCCTGGAACAGGAAGTCAAGC